ATGGATGGAGGAGGATGGAGGGTGGAGGATGGATGGAGGAGGATGGAGGGTGGAGGATGGAGGGTGGATGGAAGCAGACTCACGGTGAGAAATGAGTAGAGGGGGATCCTTCCGCTCCCGTTTACATCCACCTTGCGGAAGAGGACGAAGTTCGGCGCGAATCCTACGCCGGGGCGGACGTGCGTCAGTCCGTTGATGATCTCCACCCCGTCTCGACCTGGTTCTCGCTGTTCAAGAAAATTCATATTTTCAAGTCCATTGAGGGAAGGAATAAGAGTCTGAATTAAGTATGCTAATAGGAAGGTCCTCATTGAAAAATGAAACGCCCTTTTCCCAAAGTTTTTTAGCAGTCTTGTCTCGGCAAGTTCCAAACAAAATTCAAATGCAGGCGAAAATTTCAGGCAAATAGTCACCTTATTGCTTCCAACTTCAGGCAACCTGTTCGAAACGTCAGCTTCCCTTTAACAGCCTCCAGGCAATCCGCCGGGAAGTCTTCCAAGCACGAATGAACGGAAAGACTTCCAAGCCGAGGCAAAAAAAATTTTTTTCAGAGCTGACAGTCACCAACGGCGGACCAAATAACCACAACGGTTATTTACAAAATTACCGTTGTGGTTAAAATTAAAATAATCCCTATTCCTTCCTTCCGATCTGTGAGGGCGAAGGCGCCATTCGTCTCATAAAAAAGTAAATTTAAATGTATAATTTTTTACTTTCTACTCATTTTAATTTTAATTTTTCATTATTTATAATCAATTTTCATGCGCATCATTAATATTTACTACTTATATAATTTTCTCTAATCATTATTTGTATTCGGTTTTAATGTGCATCATTAACACGTATTACATATATTAATTATTCATTGCTTATTCATCGTATCAATGGAACCGATGCAATTCCCACCATGCCGAACTGATTGCAGGGGAAGCCGAGGACGACTAGGTCGTCGCGGAAGTGCGTCTGCAGGGCGTTCAGTTGCGGGTACGTCTCGAACGCGGTGCGTGCGTACGTCGCGACGTTCACGATCAGCACAACCTGGGGGGGTGGGAGATGGAATGTGGAATGTGCGTTAATTAACTAATTAATTAATTACAACTGCTCGTTCTGATGAATGATGTTTTATTTTCGCGACGTTCGCGATTAGTGCTTAAATTTTTTGCTAGCGCGTTTTTGCGCTGGCATACTCAAGAGCCGAAGTCAGACGGCGACTTTATTAAAATAAATTTTAAATTTTAATTAAAATTTCATTCAGGCTGAGGCTGATCGTTAGAACAAAACGAAAAAAAAGTGAAAAATTGATCGAAAACTTTCTCGAGACAGAAAAATTTTTTTGGAGAGGAAAAAATGGAATTATTTTGAGAAACGTGATTTTCCTGCTGAATAATTCCAAAACCTGATTTGACCTCAAGGATGCTGTAAGATCATGCGAGAGAGAGAGAGAATGCACGAGACGATGGACCGACCTTCCCGAGGAACTCGGCGAGGCTGACATTCCTGGAACCGTCGAGGAGTTCCTCCCGGAACTGGTAGATGGTCCTGAAGTCCTTCTGGTCGCACAGGGACTCCTGGCCGAGGGGAGCGCTCAGCAAGGGGAGGAGGAGGAGGAGCGCTCGCAGCGCCCCTGCTCCGATTCCGTTCATCGCCCTTATTGCACCTGGGGGAGAGACGGTAGACGCGTTTCGTGCGAGAATCGAGCTCGTATTCTGGATTGGCCTCTTATCGTAAAGGACTTCGAGATTGGGATAGATGGTGAAGGGCAGGCAAACTCGTCGTTCGGGTTCTCAAGTGAAACGAGATCGGCACGATTCGCGGGACTGTCCCTTTCCGATTCGGCACTTCGTGATGAAGTACTTAGTCCACCGGAGTCCCGTTAGGTACTGGAGAACGGTGGTGGAGAGGGAGGGCCTTTTTATTCGGGTGAGCCCCCATTTTAAGGTGCCTTGAGGGCAACTGAGCCCTTAAAAGGGGGACTGCGCGACGCTCATTAATGCAATCGGGAACAATTTTTAGTTCAAATCGGAATGACGTGAAAATACGGCACCAATCAAGTCTGCGTCGTCAGAACAGGAATATCTGGAACTGAAACAGGAATGTCTGCAACTTGGTCGACCGAGGCCAGCCGCACTTGCAGCTGTGAAGGGAAAAAAAATTTTCAAACGCAAGATGAAAAAAAATTTTTCGGCTCGTATTTTCGCAATTATTTTATTCATTTTCGTATTTTCGCGAAAATGGTTCATTCAATCGTTTGGAAATGGGAGGAATTTAAGCAAAAATGCGTCAGGGCAGGTGAGTCAGCTCTGTTCCAGTTTCACCTCCGAAATCAGATATGATGACGATAAACTCGAATGTGGGCCGTCTGAACTGGTATTAACCGCGGAGTCAATATTACCCTTTCTATTACTTGCAGGCACGCGAGTGAACCGCTGCGGGAGCGGAATGTCTCGTCCTTCCGCTTTCGCATCTACTAGGGGAAGCCGAGAGGAAGCCGAGAGGAAGCCGAGAGGAGGCCGAGAGGAGGCCGAGAGGAAGCCGAGAGGAAGCCGAGAGGAGGCCGAGAGGAAGCCGAGAGGAGGCCGAGAGGCGGCCGAGAGGAGGCAAGGACGCCTTGGAGGGTCCCGCGAATGCATTTCCGAGGAAGGGGATGACAGCGATTTCGGATGCCGGGCTCTTTAGCTGCTTCCACGTGATGCCACCGGGCTCTTTAGCCGCTTCCGTGCTACGCTATAGGACTCTTCAGACGCACGTGTGCCGACCCGTACTTTTTTTGCAACAGACCGCTTTTGTGGACCGAGGACTTCCGGAGAAAAAAAAAGGAAGAGAGAAATGAGGAAAAACCGTAACTCACTTAGTTGGATCAGAAGCTCATCTTCCGTGCCAATTGGCCAAAGGATGCTCCGAAGATGCCAAAAAAAAGGACCCTTCATTTTTGCACGTCGAACGCGCGAATTTGATCGCAAGTTGAACGCTGGTGGAAAACAGACGACGTTTCGCCGTCAAGGCCGCCTTGATGGCCATTATAATCAAGGCCGATTGGGCGACAAATACGAAACGCTGGTGAGAAAACCGGCAATTCTCGCGACGGCGATCGATCGCGCCTGTTTTTCGCCGATTCCCCTAGAAATTTTCGGGAAACCCCCCCCCCGACAATATTGCTCTACTGCGATATTGCACAACCGAAGCCCTTACGCAATTTCTGTGCACCAGATCGAAACCGGACATTTCCCACCACAGGCGCGAGTGAACCTGGGACTGCGCAGCAATCGTGCCTGAAAACCGGTTTCCCACAAGCTCGAACGGAGACAAACAAGCTAAGGACGCGGCGGCGTCGGTGACTCAAGGTCGTGCCTCACTTTCGTCGCATCTAATTTCCTTTTATTGCCTTTCAAATTTTTTTTATTTCAGATTTTTTTTATTAGATTTTTTTTCAGATTTTTATGATTTTAGATTTGCATAATTTCATATATTTGCAATATACAGTCGACATTTTACAAAAAGTTATGCAAATCACATCGTAAATTCTCAACGATCCCCAAAGTCTGAAGTCGATGGAAATTTGGCAAAGTACTCAGAACGTCCGAAACGCAAATAGCGAAAGAACATAATTATGAAAGCGAACCGAGAGAGAGAGCAACAGCCGGCGGCAGGGAGGTCCGAGGCGATTCCCGGGACTCGGTTGCCCTCAAGGCGCCCGAGTCATGAAAAGGGAGGCTCACCCGAATAAAAAGCTCCTCCACCGCCGTTCTTCAGTACATAAGTACTAAGTACTTCATTACGAAGTGCCGAATCGGAACGGAACAGTCCTGGTGGAATACGAGCTCGATTCTCGCACGAAACGCATCCGCCTCTCCCCAGGTGCAATAAGGGCGATGAACGGAATCGGAGCAGGGGCGCTGCGAGCGCTCCTCCTCCTCCTCCCCTGGCTGAGCGCTCCCCTCGGCCAGGAGTCCCTGTGCGACAAAAATGACTTCAGGACCATCTACCACTTCCGGGAGGAACTCCTCCAGGAATGTCAGCCGAGTTCCTCGGGAAGGTCGCGTCCATCGTCCATCATCTTCTCTCATCCTCCGTCTCTCGCGCACGATCCACCGCATAGTTTGCACGAAGTCAAATCAGGTTTGGAGCAGGAAAAACAGGGAAATTACGCTTCTCTAAGGAATCCAATCGCGGAACCGGATACCGATTTTTTTTAAAAACTTTTCTCGAAATTTCGATAATGGACCGACGCGCAGGGAATCCGAATCATTTTCATCAATCAATCAAGCCTGTGTATGGTGAACGAAGTTTTCTTTTTATTCGTCTAACGATTGCCGCCAGCCAGAATCAAGCCCGCTAAAGTCGCCGATTTGCCTCGATGGAACCCCTTACCCTTACCCTTACCCTTACCCTTACCCTTACTTCAAGGACGACCTCGTCATCCGCGGCTTCCCCTCCCCCTACGGCCAGGTGGGAATTGCATTGGTTCCCTTCACTTTGTCCCAGGGCGTCGCCGTTCAGGGCGGCACTGAAAAACGGTGCAGCATAAATAATGAATATGTAGGAATTAAATACGATTAATAAGTAATTAAATACGATTGATGAGTAATTAAATACGATTGATAAGTAATTAAATACGATTAATAAGTAATTAAATGCGATTAATAAGTAATTAAATACGATTTATGAGTAATTAAATACGATTAATAAGTAATTAAATACGATTAATAAGTAATTAAATACGGTTAATAAGTAATTAATATACGTAATAAATATTACTGATGCGGCTGAGTGTCGAATATGAGTAATGAATATGAAAATTGTTATAAGAAATTAATAATAAAAAATAATACACTTAAATTTAGTTCTCTTAAATGAGAATGGCTCCTTCGCCCTCAGAGATTCAGTGACATTCAGGGATACTGGGCGACTTTTCCTCCCTCCAGCTCGAAGACAGGAATTTTTTTTCTTTTTCAAATCCACCCTGTTTTGGTTCTGCCTTTGATGATGAGCTCCAAATATCGGACACTGTGCAATTTTTTTTTTCCCCTCAGCTTGTACGCCTCACTTTCCGTTCATTCGGGCCTGGAAGACTTCCCGGTTGGTTGCCAGAAAGCTGTTAATGGGCAGCTGACGCTTCGAACAGGTTGCCGGAAGTTTTAAGTTATGTTTTAACGACTTGCTTAAAACTTGAATTTTCCTTGGAACTTGCCGAGACAAGACAGCAAAAAAACTTTCGGAAAAACCTGCTTTTATTTCAATAAGGAACTTCCAATTCGCATATTTAATTCAGAATCTTGTTCCATCTCTCAACGAACTAAAAAAAAAAGTGTATTTCCTCGAACAGCAAGAACCAGGTCGAGACGGGATGGAGCCCATCGACGGCCCGACTAACGTCCGAGAACCTTGTCCACTTCCCGCAAGGCGGATGGAACCGGGGAGGATCCCTCACTACTCGTTTCTCACCCGTGAGTCTGCTTCCATCCACCATCCATCTTCCATCCACCATCCACCATCCACCCTTGAGGAGTCCAGTGCTTTATTGTGGGAATTCTCAGTGAAGGGAAATCATTGAGTGTCTTCGTTGTCAAGGACGAAGGAACCTTCAACCCTTTCACTACTGATTTTTTTTTTGAAAAATGTATAAAACCTTTCATATTAAGAGAAATTATTTAAATTTATTTTTCTTACCTTTAGATTTGGTCCTTAGCCCAGACAAACTCACCCTCTTCATCAGATTCGTCATTCATAAAGACAGAAATGTCTTCTTCGGAATTTTCCGACCGCGAGGAGTGCTTTGCCGTGCCATTTTCTCAATATTATTTTTGGCGGGTGTAAACATGTGAGGGCGCCGTCTGCAAAAAAAATTTATGTTACGTTCAGAGCGAAGCAAAGTCAATTCAGACAAAGGCAGTTCAGAAAAAGTGTATATAGATGGCAGCACATGCTGGGACACACGGGGGAATGAAAGAAAAACCAAAAAGTTTCAAGACGGGCATACCCGGGCGTAGCAGTGAAAGGGTTAAAGTGGGGGAAAGTGGGACGAAGAACAGAAACAGCAATGAAACAGCAACGAAAAATAAACCGTTTTTTTTTATATGGTTTCTCATATTTTCACTTGAACCGGCTTGAACCAACCATGTGCCAGTTGTGGCACAACTGAAGGCTTATTTCCGCATCGACGGCCAGAAGAAACATTTTAGGGGAAACAAATATGAATAAAAATGAACAAAAAAACAAATAAGTAGAGAAATCATAGATGTATGGGAAGAAGAAAGGAAGGAGAATAATAGGCAATTGGAGAGAAGCGAAAGTGAGCGCTTTCGATAGTCGGGAAAGTTATTAGGTGAAGAAAAAATCAATGTGATTAATGCCGAAGGAGAGAAGTTGGGGGAGGGGCGGGAGGGGCATTAGCCCCTCCCGAAGGGGCATATGCCCCGTTCATCACGGACTGGATCCAGTCGGCGTTTCTCGAGGTCCGACCGTAAACGTAAAGATGTCCGCGACCGGGCATGCCCCCCATTCCGGCGACGAAGGCCAGGCCACCGTAGCGCACCACCAGCGGTCCACCGTCGTCACCCTAATGACCATCCGCAGACAAGGAGAAACAGGAGAAGGAGAAATAATGAGAAAATGTGCTGAAATGAGAAATCAAATCCAATACTTTTTTATGTCCCTGGTACATTGTCATAATAGATTTGTAAAATGGTATGGTGTAGAATTTCCTATAAACCATGATAAAGATGCAAATTTCATTTTCGCAATATATTAATAATACGAATACTACCTCTTCACATGGGTGTTCAAATGAAATGCTGGGCATTTGAAATACATAGCTTAATAGCCATGAAAAATGTAATTGTATTTGTAATTTGTAAATTTAATTGTAATTTGTAAATTTAATTGTATTTGTAAATTTAATTGTAATTTGTAAATTTAATTGTAATTGACCGCATTGATCCGTTAGGTCGCGATTCTCACAGAGTCGATATTGAGGTCGACATAAGCGGCAGGCATCTCCACGCAGACGACTCGCCCGTCGCCGAAGGAAGAGCAGTCTGCGGACCTCCCGGTCACCTCCGCGTCCACCCGCTGCAAGGACCGAGTCTGGACCGCGCCTCCGTCGTCGAGGGACCCCCAGCCATAGACCTTCTTGTCGCACCCGGCGACGCTCGTCCCCAGGTCGTCGGACGCCGGGTAGCAGATCGGTTGGATGCCCGGGCCGAAGGTCAGAGGCGTGGAAAGGTGGACGAGGGCGAGGTTATCGGCTTGCGCTGCTTCGGAAAACCGGCGAGAAAACTCCATTATTCGTGGAAATTGAGGTTGGCTATTGGGAGCGGCCATAATAATTACGCTATGAAATTGGATACATTAGTTTTTAATATCCAAATATAGCATTTGTGGATGTTACAATGTGGTATTGGGCCAGTTATGAAAATATAAATTGAACTTATTGTCAACAGGATGCACTGCTTCTATATTTAAATAAAAATGATTTTACCGTATTTTTACATATTTATTCACTGTAACATATCTGCATTTCTAAATATTGTCTTGCCGAAAAAATCTATTCCCAATTGGTCTTGAGCTATTTATTCCAGAAGTTTTTTTCTGAAGACTTTCCCTGCAGATTCCACCTGGAATTTCTGGAATTTCTGGAAAAATGTACTCGATTTTCCCCAAATTGAAAAACGTACATGTACCACCTTGTGAAAATTTCCCAAAATTTTGGCGGAAATAATCCTACCCGCCGCGTAGGAACGATTGCGAAATTCGAGAATCCGCCGATTTCATCAGATTTCCGTCGCAAAACGATGAACCTATATAAGAATTCTTTAAGCCGAAATGAGAAATTTAAATCCAATATTTAATCAAAGTTTTCGCAAAAAAAAAAAAAATCTCGCGTTTCAAAGGGATGAAGCGATGAGCGATCTCACGAGAGTAGCGACCATAGGGATCGTAATCGGGATGCGGGACGAGGGCGTCGGCGAGGAAGGGAGTCCCGGCCGTCCGATCTCCGCTCCCCACCCAGACCGTTCCGTTGTCGGCGGGATCCCTAATGGCGAGCAGGGAACGATTTTTCATTATCGGCATTACTCGATAAAATTAGAAGCATGGTTCGAGTTTACTTCCTGGCACGAATTATGAGACGGAATCGAGAGCATTAATCCAATTGACATTCGTTCCTGCTGCAGAAATATGCGCCCAAGCGGCAATATGCAAGGTGATTTCTGCATGATGCCCGCTTTTTCAGTCATCAGCGAGAAAAGAAAAAAAAAAACATGCCGCAAGCTCGAATGCCAGATGGCTGTTGTCGGCGGCGCGATCCTTCGCGAGGATCCGCGGAAAAAAAAAAAAAATTCCGCTGCCGACAAATTCGGCGACCCAACTTTGGCGAAAATAACTTCTCGGTCCATCTGGTCAAACGCGTACGAAAAAAAAAAAAATCCGGTACAAATTGCATCAATACTTCATAAGATTATTCGAAAGTTTACGAGACGAATTATTCGAGATAAAGCTCCGAAGCAATTTGCCCTCTAAAACTTCGGATTCTGTCGGTATAAGTCTCGCAGAGAAACGCCATGAAGTTACTGTATCGCAATCATCGCGTAGTAATAAAGCTATTGTCATGAAATCATTCATCTTTGCTTGGAGCAATCATATTTAACTATTATATATTTAACATATTTAACTATTATATATTTAACATATTTAACTATTATATATTTAACATATTTAACTATTATATATGTAACATATTTAACTATTATATATTTAACATATTTAACTTCCGGGCTTTTTGAAATAAACGAAAAAAAAGTGAATAGTGGAATCGCGTAAAATACTCGATAGGTATCTCCTAATACTCACCAGTAGTAGCTCGTGATGCACCGAGCGGAGGTGAGGATGTACTCATCGCTGATGATGCAGCCGGAGCAGGTTTGGGTGAAGCCGTCGCTTCGATTAACCTCCAAGTAGGCCATGAAGGGGGCCTCCGCGCTGGTGGCATCCTGTCCCCCGATGATCCGGGCTTCCGCCGCTCCTCCGCCCATGCCTCTCATCCTTCCCAGGAAGTCCGATTGGCCGCAGGGCGTGCTCGTCACTAGCGACACGTCCACGTTCGCGATGCGCGTATTTGGAATTTAATTCTTATTTTGTGGAGGTGGATCAATTTAATTAAAGTATGCAAAATAAATACTGGGGGGAATTCGAGAAAAATACCGTGAGGTAGGAACAGTCTTGCACTATGTGGAATTCCCTGAAAATCTTTTTCTGTCATGTCTTCACACTCTCTCATAATGAAAAATAATTATATTTTTTGATCCAGCAAAAAAACACCCCTGGTGCTATCACTCACACAGACTTATGCGAAATCGTCCAAAAAATCATTCAGCAGACACCGATTCCTTCATTGAATTATGCTGGAAGCAGCGACGGATTGGGGAATGCGCAACTTGCAAATATCTTTGAGGATCAGACGAAAATAGGATTCAAGAAAACTTTCATTCAAGCATTGTTCAAGTTACAAACCCTAACTATGCCTCGGGAATAATCCGGGATCAGTACTTAAGAAAAAAATTATTTTTCAACAGAATCAACACAATAATGGAGAGGCACGATTTATTTTTAATATTTTTCCAGTTGCGTTTCCTATATTTCAACGAAAATCGGCGATATTTTGCAAAGGATCAACTCAACTTTCTGTAAAATGCGAACAGCTGTGAGAACACTTTAGCGTTGATCTGGCCACAATCTCTTCACCAGCATATCTATGAGCGAATCAAACGATGGTTTGGCTCACAAACCTGAACCAAAACCCTCGGAATCACTACTCCATGAGGAATAAAAAGACATTTTCTAAATATAAATCTGGTATCTTCCCCACTATATGAGCACTATATGCGCGGATGAAGCGAGGAGGCAAGGTCAAAGGAAACAGCGCCTTACGCGGGAGGGACGGAGGCGGCGAGGTCGGGCAAGCATCTCGTCCTGCTTGTCTCAGCAGACCAGCAGACCCAGGAGGATGCTGAGCGACGGAGGACTCTGTCTGTCCACCAACACCTCCCCACAGAAGGAGGCAGAAGAGGAGGCAGCCAGCGACGACGACTTTCATCTCGGAAGACGGGAAAACACTGAGAACCCCCATTCAAAAACTCGACAGAGATCCTGGGAACCGCAGAAATACCTGGAAAATCGGCTCAGCTACGCATCAGCGAGATCATGACTCGCGTGCAAAGCAAATGCCATGCATTACGTGCTCCACAGGCAAGATTCAATTCAATATATCCATTTTCTCGCTGAAGGAAAGAGAAAACCCTAACCTTGACACTCACCTCCACTCGTCGTCGCAGTATCAGGGTCAAAAAAAGAAACTAGTGCAATTTGTATTTGTAATTTGTATTTGTAATTTGTATTTGTAATTTGTATTTGTAATTTGTATTTGTAATTTGTATTTGTAATTTGTATTTGTAATTTGTATTTGTAATTTGTATTTGTAATTTGTATT